TTAGGAACTTTGAGACAACTGTTTGAAAAGATGTGCTCCGCTTGGCGTTACATGAAATAATGACTTCTAAATTACGCACTAAGTAGAGATTTTTGGGATTGATTTATTATACCCTTTTATTTTGTTTCCCATTTATTCCGAAATATCTTAACTTTGATATGGGTAAAATATAAAAAGCAAAATCAAGATTACTTTAATAAATTGGTGAAATACTATAGAAGAAATAATATCAAAAGATACTAAATAGTAATATCATTATTTTTTTTTTAATTTATTTATTTGAGTTATTATAATATCAAAAGATTACTAAAGAAGAAATAGTATCAAAAGAATACTAAAGAAATATCAAATAATATCAAAAGAGATAATACAAAAAAAAAAAAAAAAATATCAAAAGTCTCTATTAGATTAGTCAGGCATAATTTATGGTGAAGAAAGCCGTGTTGATTTGCAGAGAGCATTATTTTATTGTTAATGTGCTTAATGATTTTGTTGTAAGACATTTTTACTTACTAAAGACATGTATTTTTACTATTTTGCAGACAACAGAGTTTAAATAGGTTGATAGTTTTCACCAAGTAATTAATCTTCCATTTTTTTATTTACCGAACTAAAATTTTCAAACTTCAAGAGAGTGAGTAGTATTCCAGAATTAAAGAACTTATGAAAGATTTTTGTAAATGAAAAAAATATTTATTGGGGTTTAGTTTGGTAAGTTATTTCTGTCTGAAATTAAAAAAAAGTGTCACTATAAGTTTATTCAAGTTAATACCACTTTTTAAACGATGGAAATTATTCAAAAGGATTTTAATAGTATTTCTTTTTTATGTGCTCTTTTTGCTTTAAATATTGCAGCTTTTACGGAACGATTAAAAAGAGTTTATTCAAAGCTTATTATTCTTCCATTTAGCAGGTGATTTACGAAGTGAATTTTTTTACTCGGATTAGGTTTTTAATATGTGGAGTAACCCAAGGATTATTTACTCGTTTTAGGTTTTTAATATGTGGAGTAACCCAAGGATCATACTTTTTCTTTGTTTTATTAACCTTGAGGATAAAATTTTTGCAAACAATACAATTGTTAGAAATTGATAGCTACACCGCCACCTCGAAGTCCGTCTTAGCCATTTTTTTTTCAATGTGAGTAATTGTTTTAATACAATAGCTTCACTATTGTACTTTGCTTTAAAACCTTACGACATCATACTTACCACTTAACTCAAGTGTATATTTATGAGTTAATACAGTTTGTTTTATTTTTTTAGATATAGATAAATAAAAAGCTCACTATTTGAATTATTTGTCAAAATTTTTATTAAAGTTAAAAAAATAGTCGGAATAAGAGTTTGTTGTTCTTAGTTACATAATAATAGAAAAAATTACTAATGCTACTATGTTTATATACATGCATATTACTTTTAAGAATGATAACTTTTATAAAAAAAATTTGAAAAATTTGACCCCTAATAACTCTGTGGTCCTGTGGGCACTTTGCTACGTTATTGAGTTAGACCTATTTTAAAAAATGGCCCTCACTAAGTGGACTAATTTTTTTAATAGGGGCTGGAGTTAAATTGAAAATTTTAATTTAACTTTACAAATAGATAACTTAAAGAAATTAGTTACACTAATTGTTATTATTAAAAAAAAGTTTTTGTGACGTTTTTACCTTAGTATTATTTAATGCAAGTAAGTGTGATCAAAATTAAAGTAAAAAAATATATCATATTATAATTTTACTTAAAATATCAGTGGCGCAGTGGTTAGAGCGTTTGCTTCAGAATCAAAAGGGTCAAGGTTAAATGCCAGTACTGGTCATATTTGCGACATTGGTAACGAAAATGGCGTGATTTTCCGCGGTTTTCTTCTACGAAGTTATAATTTATTAAAGAATATATATTCTATAAATGCAAACTTATTAAAGAAATACAGAAGAAAAACTTTATGGAAGCTAATGCTTGTTCATATAAACGTATATTTGGACACCAATAAAACATGTCAATCTGTTACAGCAGACTTTTCAATTTCATGCGTGACGTTAATACCAAAGGTAAAAGATAAACTCAAAATTCTATATGTATTAGATGTTGCAATCCAAAACAATAAATGTTGAATTTCACAATAAAAGAAACGTAATTTTGTTGAAAAAAAGAAAAAAAAAACCCTATCATTTATATTCTGGAAGCTTTTTGAATGAACGATGATTTAATCCCCGTTGGAGTACAAGGATTATTCTAAAAAAATGCAGTTAAAATAACCAAAAATGCGGTTAAAATAACAGAAAAATTCAATCTAAATCTAAACAGTGCAAAAACTATATGCACCATGTTAATAAAACTTTCTTATATAAGTTTTATATACTATAGATTTTCTTATAAACGTTGTTGATATTCATGTGCTAACAATATTTTATTATATTAACTTAGTATAGATGTGTCAATATAAGTGCTATTATGATAAATAAAATTGTTTAGTACTTAATAACTTTTTAATACGTTCGAAACATATTAATAAATTGTACTAAACATTTTAAATTAAATTTAATTAAATTTTTTAACAAATGTTTTTTGTTAAACATTTTTATTTATCATGTCATTATAATGGGGTTAGTTGACACATAATGTTTGAACTAACCCCATTATGTGCCTGGGTATGTAAAGAAAAAAAAAAATTATAAAGTTGTTGCATTATGAACACAGTTTAATAACATCCAAAGTTTATTTATTTTTAGTTGAATATTTCATAAGCAATATCACTAAATAGATTGGTGTATTTTACACGATTTATGATTTCGATATAAGTTGTAAAACTCTGCTGATCTCATGCCAATTTATAATCAACGTCAAACTTCTTGACATCCTAGAACGATTTAATTACCACAGGATCTTCTGCAAGCCACACACGGTCTATCAGATTCCATTTATGATTGCCTGGCTTTTTTGATACGATAAACGTTTATTAACGCATCAAATATGGATTGCCAGAGCTAGATCGCCAACACCGCGTCATGAATTAATTTAAGTTGTTGTGTTACAGTTGTTAAAATAAAAATTAATAAGTTGGCTAACTTAGTTTTAATTCTTTGTGTTAATAACTTTTTTATAGCACAATCTAATAACTGATTTGAATTTAATTAACATACTAGTCTTTATCCATTTTTCTCAATAAATGGTATTGATAAAGATATTAGATTAGAACGTGTTAATCTCAATAAGATATATTGAAAAAGGTATTAGAGTTGTACGTATTTGCCAGAAGCAGGTTGTTAAGCTGTATTAGCTAGAGTTTGTTAAAACTCCATCTAATGCAATGGCTAGCCAGATCCGGAACAGATTCAAGTTTATGTGGAATTGTCTATTCGAACACAGTAAGTATAATTTTTGTCAATCTACACAAATATTCCTATTTATACTGTTACTGTTTAAAAACGCTGAACTTTTGCAACTCTATTTTATCGTACTTTTTCAATTATATGTTAAAAAAAATTGTTTTATTGTAACTGTTACATAAATTTAATACGCGTGACATTTTCCAGATTTAATTATGATATTTTCCAGATTTACTACCAGATTATACTTTTTTTGTGACGTTCTTGCTTATTTTTTTGCGCTAACTTTAACAAGTATTTGTTCCGCATTCTTCGTGATACACTTATTCAAGTGTTTATAAGTAAATTTTTTTTTTTACTTTTTAGATTGCAAATAACAATAGCTATGACGATTAAAAAAAATTTTCGAATCTGAATAGATGCTCAAACATGATTACGATACCGGGGGGCATAAATTTAACCTTAAGTTATTTAAGGGGTGAAGCATGTTTTAAAAATATTATTTTTACAAAATTTAACTGGTTTTAAATATAATATAAAAAACAATTAATCTAGTTTCGACTAATCCTATTATTTTAAAAGTATCCAACTGAGGTTTTTTTTATTAATCTAAAACAACTTAAGCGTCGAAAACTTACTGAGTTTTGCAGATAAATAAATGTTACGTCATAACATCACTTTTAGTTAGCACTTCTATACATGGTCACAACTTAGATCAAGCAAAGATGTAATCAGTTTTCTCACAGCAGATCATACGACAATTCCAAAAGTGGAATTTGTTTATTGTTGTTGCGGAACAATTGAAATGCAAGTTTAGATTACTTGTGCATTATTTAAACAAATAAGTTTTATCCAATAGGACGTTTGCTTGTAAAATTTAATCGGATTTATTGACGGTTTGCAATGATTTGTTGTAATAAAACTTATTTATAATGATAATTTTAATAATGCTTTACAACATATATATATATATATATATATATATATATATATATATATATATATATATATATATATATATATATATATATATATATATATATATATATATATATATATATATATATATATATATATATATATATATATATATATATATTTACAAATAAACAAAATTTAATTTTTTTTTAAAGCTTTATCGTTTATTTTAAAGGTTTTCTATTTAGAAAAATATCAAACGATTACAAACGAACTCAGCTAATAATGACTTTTTTGTTCCTTTTTCAATATTACTAAAAAAATTACTTTTTGAACATGCCGTTAACAGTGGGTTTAATATATGTTTTTTAAATTAAATTAGTCTGCTTTTTAAAATAACTTTAGTTGTACGGCAATGTTTGTTAATGTTTGTTATGCGTGGACACTCTTACTAAATTTATTGATATGATAAAAATAAATTTTTCTGAAATTATTTTTGAGAGACAACCTCCTTATATTCGTTATTTTTTCTCACGTATTTTTTTTTAATTGTAATAAAAAAGTATTGAAGTAAATATTTAGTTTACTAAAAATAAATTAAAATTATCACATAAATATATCTTTAAAGGTTTATATCTTTATATCTTTATATCTTTAAAGGTTTGTCCACGAATAAATAAAACCACGTGATAATTTAAAATATAGCCAATAGAATTCAACTTTGGGTAGGGCTTTTAATAAGGGAGGGTGTTAAGTCAGAGCGAGTGTAGAAGTTTCCGTGTTCATATATTGGGTTTCATATACTGGTACTGTATTTAGTAGTCCAGAGCATATTTTTTATATTTAGACTTCTAATATTATAAAGCATTATTGGTCTCGACAACTGGGTTCATTTTCAATATGGACAACGAAGAAGATAGTCTAAAGTATCTGTCTGTTGATCGGCGTGCAATAGCTGACCCCGTTGCTCACGCTGCTTGGGCTGCACAGAAGTTAGTTTGGGTGCCTAGTGAAGAACATGGTTTTGTTTCTGCTAGTATCAAAGAGGAGAAAGGGGATAAAGTTATTGCCGAAATTGAAGGAGGGAAAAGAGTGACATTTCATAAAGATGATATTCAAAGGATGAATCCACCCAAATTTGACAAGGTGGAAGACATGGCTGATCTGACTTGTTTAAATGAAGCTAGTGTGTTGCATAATATTAAAGATCGATATTTTTCAGATCTCATTTATGTAAGTAACTTTCTCATCCCATAGCTACTGCAGAATTAGACCTGCATTTGTGCATAATTATGCATTATTATGTGCAGATTTGTTATTTTTTAAAAAGCATTTTGTTGAACTCTAGTTGCAATTTCTCTTGTTTTAGTTGAATTGAGTTGATAAAATTTTTTTTGATTCCAATTATATATACTTAAAAAATATATAATATAAATTATTTTTCCCACATCCTAATCTTTAATATTATGTATGTTCAAGATATGTTTCTATTTGAGTATGGTGTCATTAGTGACACAACATGCAGGCCTAATTCAACAGTAATTTATATATATATATATATATATATATATATATATATATATATATATATATATATATATATATATATATATATATATATATATATATATATATATAATTTTTTGTGGGATCAAGGTATGCCATATTTTAGGAATTCCCAATTCCCAAGGTATGCCATAATTAATTCCTGAAGTATGTCATATCTATGGCTTAAAATGAAAAAAATTACCAATATATTTATAAATTTAATTCTTTTAGGGAAATTGTTTATAGTCATAAGACCAACAAAAATTTTTAACAGAGAGGTTTTTACAAACTCTGAGGTGTTATTGAATATATATTACAATATATACCCAATAATAATCTATATTACAAACTATGGGAAAAAATTTAAAATTATATATTTTTAATTTTTTTAAACTTATTTATTGACCTAGTTTTAAAATTAAACTTTATTTAGACTTACTCTGGTTTGTTTTGTGTTGTTGTAAACCCATACAAGAAGATACCAATATACAGTGATAATGTTGTTAACTTATATCGAGGAAAAAAACGACATGAGCTTCCACCACATGTCTATGCAATTACTGATAATGCATATCGCAGCATGTTACAAGGTAAGTTGTTATTCACTAAATTCTTAAGAGAGTGAGAACAAGTGCCATATGGAACCGTTTACGGTAGTAAGGTTCATTTCTTGCAAACCTTTTTTAGAAAATTTTAGATTTGCAGGAAGAAGCTGCAGTAGTGCAAAAACTATGCATATTACTACGGGTTTTTTTCTTTATTTTATGATTGATTATAATAGAAAATTTTTTGGCAATTTAGAAAAATATAAAAACATAGGTCTCAAAATTAGTAGAATTGGTTTTTTAATCTGAGCTCGAAGGAAAATGTAAAATTGAAAGTAAACACCTATTTTTTACACTTTGTTTACATGGCATTGTCTTTGCAAATCTATAAAAAAATTACTAGTTTTTATTACTGCTATTATTATTGCTATTAGAAATAGATTTTTTTTTTGAGTATTGTTAAAAATGAACCCCACAGTCACAACCATTAATAAGCATAGGTCTGCAACTAGAATGTTATATGTGGATTTATTAATCTAACTTCAGCTACACAAAGTTTCTTTTTAAAATAAAAGGTTTGTTAATCTTTTATTTGAATATAGTTATATTTATATAACAAAGTTTTTGTTTTATTCTTGTTAATAACTTTTAATTATCTTTAGATCGTGATAATCAGTCTATCCTCTGCACGTAAGTGTTTAACTTTATATATTTATAACCTTTCCTTTACTTTTAAAAACCATTAATGGCATTTTACACTAGTCAAATTTCATCGATGTTTTTTTTATGAGCTGTGTAGTACTAATATTTCTATTACTTTAATTTTCCATTTTGTTTTTGAAATATTGGTTTGTGTATATATATATATATATATATATATATATATATATATATATATATATATATATATATATATATATATATATATATATATATATATATATATATATATATATATATATATATATATATATATTATAGGGGTGAATCTGGTGCAGGAAAAACTGAAAACACAAAAAAGGTTATACAGTACTTGACTGCTATAGCTGGTCGTCATAAACAAGATGATAAATCAGCACAGGTAATTTTCGAGAACTTATTAAAAAATAATACATAAATTTAAAAATAATAAGTAAATTATAAATTTTTTTTAAAAAGAGTTTAAATCAAATTTTTAAGAATGCTTTAATGAAAATAATTTCAAAAATAAAAAAGTATAAATATTTTATTTTGTTTTGTTTAGGGTCAACTTGAGGTACAGTTACTCCAAGCCAATCCTATTCTTGAAGCATTTGGAAATGCAAAAACTGTGAAAAATGATAATTCATCACGTTTTGTAAGTGTTTAAATTTTTTATTTTTTTATTTTTTTGTAAATAAAGTTTAAATTTTGGCTTTTGTTTATGTATTTTTTAATTACTTATATATTTTTCATTTTGATTACTATCATAAAAAAAAAGTTACATTACTTTTGCTCAAATAAAAACTTTAAAATCTTCAGAAACTTCAAAAGCTTCAAAAGCCAAAAATAATTACGCAATATATAAAAAAAAAATTTAAATTAAAAAAAAATTCTCATGAAAACAAAAAGTTTATCTATGAAATACATTTTATACAATTTTAATTATAACTTAAATGATGTTAGGAATATATCAAATACTTAATTTTTGGTTTAGTTTTGTTAAGTTAAATAACTGTTATTTTTACTATTGACTTCGTTTAGGGTAAATTCATCAGAATTATGTTTGATAATTCTGGTTTTATCTCTGGAGCAAACATTGAGTCCTATTTGTTGGAGAAAGGTCGATTAGTTCGCCAAGCACCAGAAGAAAGACTTTTCCACATTTTTTACCAGTTGCTTTTGGGTGCAAGTCCTGAAGTTAAAAGTATTTTTTACTATTTTTATTCTTTTTTTTTTTTTTTCATATTTTATTAAAAATTTTTTTTAAAACAAAAACTTTTAAATAATATTAATAACTTTTAAATAATTTAAATAAAATAGTTTATACTTTGTATCTGATGTGGAGAAACACATAACAGGCTGAATATCAAACAAAAATTGACAAACTATTTTTCTTAATATTTTTTTATGAAATATTTGTATAAAAGATGTAGTTTTAATGATTTTAAAAGGCTTTCAAGTTCTGCTATCTCCCACATTCATAATAATTGTTTAAAGATGTTTTTATTAAATTGTTACTTTGTTATAAGCTCTAAAAGATTGTTTTTGTTTCAATGAACTAATTTTTAACATGTATTTTTTTATGGTTAACAAAAAAAAGATTTAAGGCAATAAATGAATAAATAATAAACCATAGTTGCATAGTATAAAATATCAATTATCTGTTCTTAAAGTACTTTAAAATTATTTTTAGAACAATTTCTACTTCTTGATCCAAAAAGTTATATTTTTATGTCAAATGGACTTGTTCAGCTTCCTAACATGGATGACCGTGCAGAATTTAAATTAACTTTGGAGGCTATGAGGGATATGGGTATTACCCAAGAAGAACTTAATCCTATTTTCAAAGTTTTATCAGCTTGTCTATTATTTGGTAACTTGGATTTCAAAATGGAAAGAAAATCAGATCAAGCTGCGTTGCCCGATAATACTATTTCACAGCAAATTTCTCATCTTCTTGGAATTGCTGTTACTGACTTTACAAATGCTTTATTAAAACCAAGAGTTAAAGTTGGACGAGAGTTTACACAAAAAGCTCAAACTAAAGCTCAGTGCGAATTTGCTGTTGAAGCTCTTACAAAAGCTATGTATGAGCGTCTTTTCAAATGGTTAGTCACTCGCATTAACAAGAGTTTAAATCGATCAAAACGTGAAGGTGCCTCTTTCGTTGGAATCTTGGATATTGCTGGTTTTGAAATTTTCAAAATAAATTCATTTGAACAGTTATGTATAAATTATACTAATGAAAAACTGCAACAACTGTTCAACCACACTATGTTTATTCTTGAACAAGAAGAATACCAGAAAGAAGGAATTGACTGGAAATTTATTGACTTTGGACTTGACTTACAACCAACTATTGACTTGATTGAGAAACCTATGGGCATTATGGCCTTACTTGATGAGGAATGTTGGTTCCCAAAAGCAACAGATAAAAGTTTAGTAGAGAAAATAAATAAAGCTCATGCTAAGCATCCAAAGTACATGAAACCTGACTTTAGAGCTAACTCAGATTTCTGTATCATTCATTATGCTGGTCGTGTTGATTATTCTGCAGCCCAATGGCTTACAAAGAATATGGATCCACTAAATGACAATGTTGTTGCTTTATTGGCGGCTTCAAGCGAACCATTTGTAGATGCATTGTGGAAAGATATTGGTTTGGCAATTTATATAAAATATATGTTTAGCATAATCAATAAATTTATGGTATTATATTATTAATATTATTTTGCATTTGTTTAAATTTTTTTTAGAAAATGTTGTTAGCATGAGTGTTACAGAAGGTATGGATACTGCATTTGGTGCAGCAAAAACAAAAAAAGGAATGTTTAGAACTCTGTCGCAACTTTATAAGGTTTTTTTATTTAATAATTTTATTTAATATTTTATCGAGTTACTGTCGAAACATCCACTAGATTTATTCAAAGCAAATTTTGTTTAGGAACAATTACAAGGTCTCATGAATACATTAAATTGTACAAAGCCAAACTTTGTTCGTTGCATCATTCCAAACTATGAAAAACGAAGTGGAAAGATCACCAACTTTTTGGTTCTTGACCAACTGAGATGTAATGGTGTTTTAGAAGGTATTCGTATTTGCAGGCAAGGTTTCCCTAACAGAATTCTTTTCCAAGAATTTAGACAGCGATATGAAATTCTTTGCCCTGGTGTTGTTCCTAAAGGCTTTATGGATGGACGCAATGCATCCAAGAAAATGGTAACTTTAATTATATTAGTTATTTTAGATATTGTTATATACAACCCTCAGAATTAGGAAAAATGAGGTCAACAATAATTTGCCAACTTCAAGCTTTTAAACGTTAAAAAAAATTGATACAAAGATTTTATTATAAAACATAAAAGGTTGGCAATTTTTTGGTGACCTGAAACACCTTTAGGTAAGCATTGCCAAATGCTGAACTTAATTCTGAGGGTTGTATATAACAATATATGTTATATATGTACAGAGAAATAATAATTTAGTAAAAATACTTATTAAATTAGATAAGCATTTTTTACAAGATTATATAAATTTATATATATATATATATATATACATACATACATACATACATACATACATACATACATACATACATACATACATAGATACATATAGCATGCAAATAAAAAATTAAAGGCGAGCCGTCAATTTAGACCTGCTAACACATGGAATTGACAGTCAATTGTTTTTTTCTGATGTTCAAATTGTTTTTTTTCTCTTTGTTTAAATTTTCATCTGAGTAATAGTTCTTTATGATTAAACACATGAAAACAACTTAATGCTTATAACTAATGTTCAAATTACCTTCTAATGTTAATTTGTTTAAAATTTGCTTTTGAGCAAAGGGTTTTATTCAATTAAAAAAGAAGTTTGATAATATCCAAGTAAGTTAATATTGATTTTTTTTAAAATATTAAAACAATTTTTATACAATATTAAAAAAATTTAAACTGAATACTTAATACTATAACAAATCGCTTTATGAGTGCATTTGAATAATGAAAGCGTTGTTTGTCCAAGATGAGTTGACGTTTGATGATTCTATTACAATCAATATTAGAAAGGAGAAAAATATGTGTAAACGCTCAATTGATAATTTCAAATTTATTTTAAAATAATACATCAATTGCAATGACCTCTCACCAGTGAGACAAATGAACAAAAAAACAAAAAAAAAAAGATTAAATTCAAAAAAAAAAAGAACTGTTGGTAGAGAAAATGTTCTTAGTTACATACAAAAATTTAAAATAGTATCTCTGCTTATTAAAATCAGAGATATTTTATATCTCTGATTTTAATAAGCAGAGATGTATTTTTTTTTTTTTTATCTCTACTTATTTATAATTTTATTAACACTCATGCACAAATTTTTTACTATTTAAACTTGATACTTAATACTAAGAAGGTAATTTTTTATGATACACTACTAGATAAGTTATTAGTGTTACATTAAACAAGATTTTACTTAACATATATATAGATTTTACTAAACATATATTTTTAAGAATTATTGAAATGTTTGAATTTAACTATAAATCCTTCATTTATTACAATTTGCAGCAAAAACATAAAAATATATATATACTCACATAATATATTATAAAATTTATTAACTTACCTAATAAAAATTTTATAACAGATTGAGGCTTTGGAAATGGATCCAAATTTGTTCAGAATCGGTCAATCAAAAATATTTTTCCGTGCTGGTGTGTTAGCCCATCTTGAAGAAGAACGTGATATTAAACTTACTGAAATAGTAATTCAATTCCAAGCTTTTTGCAGAGGTAATATTGCTCGTAAAAATTATAAGAGGCGCATTCAGCAGTTATCAGCTATTAGAGTTATTCAACGAAATGGTCGCAGCTGGATGAAATTAAGAAATTGGCAATGGTGGCGCTTGTTCACAAAAGTAAAACCTTTGTTGAATGTTACAAGACACGATGAAGAGCTTCGCGCCAAAGAAGAGGAGTATAAAAAAGTACAACTTTTGTTGCTTTCCTTAAAAATTATTATTTTGTTTTTATAATCTAAATAATGTTTTTAATGTTTATAAAAGTTAAAAGTATTGTAGATATTTAGCTTAAAATATGTAACTATTTAACATATGTATATGTAACATTTAATATATAAGAATGATTAAAGACTAAATATAAAATTTGGGCTGAATGCCAAAATGAAAAAATTTTCAGTTTGATCTTAAAATGGCCAAGTGATATTTGCTGTAGAGATCTAATAACTATTATTAGAACTACTTCCACAGTAAATATCTCTTAGCCCAGTTTTTACTGTATAGTGTTTGGCACATAAAACACGTTTTAACATCAAACCAAATACTTTCATAGATAACGCTTTGCCTGGATTTTATATTCAGTTTTCAATTTATATTTAACAAGTTTTTTATATATATTCATATATATATGTATATATGTGTGTATATATATATACATATATATATATATATATATATATATATATATATATATATATATATATATATATATATATATATATATATATATATATATATATATATGAAATTTTATTTATTGTTATCGCTTTGTTGTTATTTATTTAGGTTCTTGATAAATACGAAAAAGTTGAAAGTGCACACAATGACCTCAAAAAGAGTCATGACAAGCTTACTGATGAAAATAAACTGTTAGCTGAGCAACTTCAAGCTGAAATAGAGCTGTGTCAAGAAGCAGAAGAGAATGTTAGTCGTCTCCAGCAACGAAAGATTGAATTAGAGGAATTATTGAATGATTTTGAAATCAAGTTAGCTGAGGAGGAAGAGAGATCAGCCAAGACTGCTGAGGAAAAAAAAAAGTTACAACAAGGAATTCAAGAATTAGAAGAAAGGTATATTTATATCATTTTTTTTTTTTTTTTTTTTTTTTTTTTCCACAGGTAAGGAGACAACTTTGATTTTAGCGCATCCTTTTAAACTTCTTCTTGAAGCTTATTTAAATTTGTATTCAAAAAACCTAGTTTTATTTATTTTTGCTTTTTTTATTTATATATCATCCTTGAAAAATAAATGCTTTTACTTTCATAGCTCAGCAATAATCAATAAATTTCTCTAAAAAGTATTTTATTGCTTTTAAAAGGAAAAAAGTATATTTAAACATGACACAATTTCTACTTACCTTTCAACTACTTTTTTAGTTATGATCAATATTTAATTTGTTAAATAAAAATGTAAAATGTTAAATAAAAACGTAAGTAAATATTTTGTTTTCAAAAAACTATTTAGTCTTGAGGAGGAAGAAGCTCAAAGACAAAAGTTGCAACTCGAAAAGGTTCAAGTCGAAGCTAAACTAAAAGCATTAGAAGACGATTTAAGACTAGTCGAAGACTCCAATGCTAAACTATCACAAGACAAAAAACAACTTGAAGAGAGAATGGATGAACTAAGCACAAAGTTGTCGGCAGAAGAAGATAAATCAAAAGGTTTAATAAAGTTAAAAGTTAAACAAGAAACATTAATATCAGAATTAGAAGAACGTGTTGCAAAAAGTGAAAAAACTGCTGTTGATTACCAAAAAGAAATTAGAAAACTTCAGCAAGAAATTAGTGATTTGCGAAATCAATTGGCAGAAGCACAACAACGTATTGCTGAGTTAGAAGATGATCTTGCTCGTCGTGATAATGAACTGGCTGCAGCTATCAAGAGAGGAGATGAGGAAATGTCAAAAAGAGTTAATGTCGAAAAAGCAAAACGTGATGTTGAAGCTCATCTAGAAGAAGTTAAAGATGATTATGAACAAGAAAAAGCAGCTCGTGAAAAAGTTGAAAAAGCTAAAAGAGAACTAGAGAAGGTAATTTTTTAATATTTAAAACTAAAATTTTGTAATAAATTATAATTATAAAACAATTTTTTTGTTGAGTTTTTTAACTAAAGATATTTTATTAGGATCTTAATGAATTGCGTGAAGAATTAGAAGTCAACACAGATGCAACTACAGTGCAGAAAGAGCTTCAGCGTAAACGTGAAGAAGATTTTAATGAATTAAAAAAACAAGTTGAAATAGAGGCTAGAGAGCATGAAAAACAAATGGACTCACTGCGAGGAAAACACAATCAACTTGTGAATGAACTTCAGGATCAGTTGGATCAATTTAAAAAGGGAAAAAATGCACTGGGTAATTAACATGTTTTATTGATTTTTTACCACACTTTTTGCTAATTTCTTTGTCCTGTTTTTTTCTTTCTTTCTTTTTCATTAGAGAGCAAGGGGGTTTCATTAGAGGGCAAGGGAGTTTCATTAGCGGGCAAGGGGGTAATTATTTACATGTTCAAAAAATTTTTTGGGTTTTTAATGAATAGACCTTTTTTTTTTATAAATTGAAAGAAATTTTTGTAAATAGATATATTTGTATATATTTATAAATGAATATATTTTTATATTTACTTATAATTTTTAAATGGTTGCTTTAGAAAAAAATAAAACGGCATTAGAGAATGAGAATGCTGAAATTGCTGCTGATTTGCAGCGTGTTTCTTTGTTGAAGCAGGAGAGCGATAGAAAAGCCAAAAATTTTGAAGCTCAGTTAAGTGAAGCAAATGCAATTCGCATGGGACAAGAGGAAATGATTTCAAAACTTGATGGACAATGTGCTAAGTTAACTAAAGAATGTGATTCATTAAATCAACAAATTGATGAAGTGGAATCAAAAGCAGCCAATCTCGAAGTAAGATTTTTTATTTTACTATTTATTATAAAATTATAATATTTTATAATTTTATATTTTAGCATCATAATAATTGCTTGCATTTTTTTTGTTTCCATGGAGAGTAAACATGATTACTACTTAGAGACATGAAAAAGAGGTCAGGAAGTAAAAAAAGAAAATCTTGGATATATTAATAAGTTTTTTTCCTTAAATAACTTGATTTTCAAGGGTTACCAAAATTAATCTTAAATTTTTGTGTAAGCTAGGTTTATTTGCAAATTTCCTAATATTTCTCACATTTTTTTAAAATGCTTCAAATTCTTAATTTTAATTCTTATCTAATTACTTGTAAAATAATTATTAAAAAAGTGCATTTAGCACATTTTTAAAATAAAGACTTCAAAAATTTGACAAAACCAGTCATTGACGCTATTTATTAAAGATTTTTTAAACACATTTTATGGTACATAAAAAGAATTGTTCTATGTTGTCTATATAAAATTTAAATTTTTTACAATTTATTAAGTGGTCTTTTTAACCATTTTTATAGAATGGAAAATTAAGTTTGCATTTCTTCGAAACAATTTATATATCTTGCAATTTTTCCCCAATATTTTTGAATCAATTAAGTTTAATGTCTCTTTCACAACAATTATTGACTAATCTTTTTATAAACCTTCATGATTGTATGTTTCAATCATTTATGATTGTATGTTTCAGATTGACTTTTTACCAATAAATATTTAACAATTTATAGCAATATATATGTAATAACAAATAACAAATTTAAATAGTTCAAAATTTTTTTTTTTCAATAGCGAGCTAAACAAGCTGCAGAGACTTCTCTGTCAGACCTTCAAGATGCTTTACATGAAGAAACACGCCAGAAACTTGCTCTTCAAACAAAAGTTCGCGAGGCTGAAGATGAAGCCAATCGTCTTCAAGAACAACTTGAAGAAGAAGAAGATGAGAAAAAAGCTGTTCAAAAAACTCTCACACAAGTTCAATTGCAGGTTTTAATAATAAGTTATTAAAAATATACCTTTTTTTTTTTTAAACAATTTATAAAACAAGTCGATTTTTTTAAAAGAAAGTTTTAATTAAGTATAAATCTATTTAGCTTGATAGTTGCAAAAAAGAAATCGAATTAAAAGTTACACTTCTTGAAGAAGCTGAGTCAGCTCGTCAAAAACAAAAACGAGAAAATGAAGAACTTCGCTCTGACAATGAGAGGTTTCAGTCTGAAATTTCCAAACTTGACAAAGCTCGTAAGAAGTTACAAGGAGATTTGGATGATGTTACTGTGCTCATGGAAAGAGAAAGAAATAATGCATCCCAAATGGCTGCAAAACAAAAGAAATTCGATCAACTTTTATCTGAAGAAAAATCTAGATCCCAGGCTCTTGCAAGTGAGCGAGATAATGTAGAAAAAGTTGCTCGTGCAAATGAAACAAAAATTCTTTCATTACAAAGTGCAAATGAAGAATTAGAGGACAAATTAGCAGAGGTGAAAATCTTTATCAAAAATTTTTAATCAAAATATAATTAAAGAATGTTTGTATTTATATCTTGTATTTTTTTAGTCTGAGCGTGTACGTAAAAGTCTTATGGCAGAACTCCAAGAGCTTATTGATTCTAAAGACGGTGCCGGTAAGAATATACATGAACTTGATAAAGCTAAACGACTTCTTGAACAGCAACTTGCCGAGCAGAAAACTCAAGTTGAAGAACTTGAAGATGAGCTGCAGGCCACTGAAGATGCCAAGCTAAGATTAGAAGTAAATATGCAAGCACAAAAAGCTCAGTTTGAAAGAGAACTTGCAGCAAAAGAAGATTCTATTGAAGAAGGAAGAAAAGGACTTATCAAACAGGTTATTTAAATTTTTATATAGAAACAAACCTTAATGATGCATTGTCATCATGTGAATTCTTTTATATCATTCAAAACTTTTTATTAAGTTTTCTAGTTAAGTAATTAAGTATTTCTTAGAGGTTTTGCAATTTTTTTTAAATATCAACTTTAAATATATATAGTTACGTGAAATGGAACTCGAACTTGAAGAGGAACGCAAAGTAAGCAAAGCTGCTGGTGCATCTAAACGAAAGTTAGAGAGTGATGTAAAGGAACTTACTGCTCAGTTAGATCAAGCTAACAGACTTAAAGAAGATAGTCAAAAGCAGCTCAAGAAATATCAAGTCCATCTTAAAGATGTTCAACGTGATTTAGATGAAGCAAAGGCTGCACGTGAAGAGTTGTCTGCTCAGGTATATAAAATCTTAAAGTTTTAAGGCTAAAAAAATTACTTTTAAACTTTTTAAGTTGCTTGTTAACAAACATAAACAAAATTCTTTTTTAAAGGTCAAAGATAATGAAAAGAAATTAAAGGGATTAGAGTCAGATTTCGTACAAATGCAAGAAGATCTCAGCACAGCTGAGCGTGCTCGTCGTACTATTGAAGCAGAACGCGATGAACTTCTTGAAGAGTTAAATAACAACACTTCTGCAAAGACAGCTGTTGCTGAAGAACGCAAACGATGGGAGGCTCAAATTGCTGCCCTTGAAGAAGAATTAGAAGAAGAACGAACTCAGACCGAGCTTATGCAAGATAAGGTGTGTGAAATTGAACTCTAGCGTGTGTTATATATATATATATATATATATATATATATATATATATATATATATATATATATATATATATATATATATATATATATACAGTGCTCAAAGTGGAGAAAAAAAGTAACGGGATGGTATTCAGTAACTTAAAAATATCATCCCATCTAATTACTGTTATATAGAGATTTATAAAAAAGTGGCGGGATGGTTTATACTTTATAAAAAGGTGATGGGATGGCATCCCACCGTATACCGCCTCACTTCGAGCACTGTATATATATGTGTGTGTGTATTTATGTATGTGTGTGTGTGTCTACATATATATATATATATATATATATATATATATATATATATATATATATATATATATATATATATATATATATATATATATATATATATATATATATATTTACATATATAGGTTTCACGAGGTAATCTACAAATAGACCAAATGTCTGCTGAATTAGCTGAAGAAAGAGCCGCTTTGCAATCCCTTGACAACTCTCGTATGACATTAGAACGCGCCAACAAAGAATTGCAAAATAAACTTGCTGATTTAGAATCAAGTTTACGCTCACGTACCAAGAACACAGTAGCAACTCTTGAAGCCAAAATTAGCAATCTGGAAGCCCAACTTGATCAAGAAGCCAAAGAAAAACAGAATATTACAAAATTACTTAGAAGAACTGAAAAGCGAGCTAAAGAACTTCAAGTGCTTGTTGATGAGGAGCGTGGTCACACTGAATCGTACAAACAACAAGTATGTTGCGTAAATCCTAAGAACTCAATAGTTGTGTTGCGTATTTGTTTTGTGATTTAAAATATTTCATTGTTTACTTTTACACTACTTTGTTTTATATTAAAGGTTGAGAAAGCTAATAACAGGGTAAAAAGCATAAAACGACAATTGGATGAATCCGAGGAAGAAGTTAGTAGACTAAACGGAACCAAGAGAAAGATGCAAAGAGATCTTGATGAAAATACCGAAGCGCTTGAATCAGCACAAAGAGAACTTACACAGTTAAAATCAAGGATGAAGTAAATTACATCAAACCTTTTTTTTGATTAATCAAAGAATATTATTAAGGCAAAAACACTATATATATATATATATATATATATATATATATATATATATATATATATATATATATATATATATATATATATATATATATATATATATATCTATATATATAAAACACGTTTTTAAAATTTAAATAAATTGCTTATAAGATATTTATTTATGCCTAGGACTGCCACTACGCCTAGCACCCGTTCTACAGGACGTCGCCGTAAAGATGACGATGAACAAAATGATGAGGACGGCACCGATTGAAAACGTCTTGAAATTTTCGAACTGGGTGGCTTTTGTCAACCAATATTTTTTTTATAAATATTTCAAAAATCATTTGTAATTATAACGTTTGAAGAGATATTTCTCAACGATTTTTCATAACAAAAAATTTGGGTATGAATTTATTTCTAAATGAGCTCTCAACAAACTTTGTTTTAATTAAAAAAAAGTATTTCTATTTAGCTTTAGCTGTTTAGTTTTTATAGATTATTGACAGATTTGCTATTAGATTTTTAATTTCATGGTTTACCGTATTAAAAAACTATAAATATAAAATTGTATATTTCGTATAAATGTAACTTTTGAAAAATTTATAGGCGTTATTTCATAACTTTTTACTCGGTTAACTTGCTATATTCTTTATTCAAATTAAAATTTGTAAAATAAAAATAAAGAAAGAATGATTAAATTTTTTTTATTTCCTTAAAAATGTCTGATATGAAAATTTGGGTTAATAAAACCCAAACCCGACCTATGTCTGATATGGTATGTGTTAGTAATACCAGGACCTGACCTACTTTGCAAACAGGTCTGTCTCTCAAGAGCTCGTTTTTAAAAGAGTTTGAAAATAGCACAGACTCGCTTCAAAAAGCTTTACATTTTATCAGACTATTATTAACCCAAACTCCTGTTTGGGCGGAGGGGGGGGTGGTCTAATCTCGGGTATTTTTGTTTCCATCACCGCGATTTTTTACAAAACGTTCTCTTGACATAAACATACTTGAGTTCAGAGTTTGTGCAATCTCTGAAAGTGTCATATCTTAAAAATCAAAAAATCTTGTCAGCGCTCATGAGTGTGAGGCAAAACAGTCAAATCCTCTCGCACACCAAATAGTAAATTATTTTGTAAATGCAGCAATAAAAAAATAAAGTCTGAAAAAAACAAAATATCAACGAAATATTTTGCAGTTTTAATGTTACCTTAAATTACATATTTTAAGTTATTTTCATGTTTCATTAAATTTAAATAATAAATTTACAGAGTTTTACAATGTACAATGCTACTCTTCTGGTATAAAGGTTTATAAATATGCACATACATACACATATGTATATATATACTTTGACTTATAAACACATATATATATACACATATACATACGCACACACATTTTTATATATTTACATCTTTTTTTTTTTTTTTTTTTTTTTTTTTTTACAATTTAGAGAGTTTTTACAGTTTTACAATTAGAGAGTATTTACATATACAAAATAAGAAATATATATACATGGTTAATAATACAAGTTTAAATAATGAGCGCAGCAATTGTTTTTTTTTTTTATTCAACCATATCAATAAAAATTTACAAATCTCATCGTAAATTAATAGAATTTGGTTAGGTGTCACTCATATAGTTACAAACTAGTCAATGGAGTGACACCTAAAAAACATAAAATTCTCGAAAAAAAAAAATAAAGAAAGAAAGAAAAAAAAGAAAAAAAAAGAAACGAAAAGCAAAAAATAAATAAATAAATAAATGTATATATATATAAAAAAGAGAGAGAAAAAAGAAAGAAAGAAAAAAAAAAGAATATATATTATTATTATTTGTTTAGCAAACAAATAATAATGATATATATAATAATTATTGTAATAATACAAACTAATAACAATAATAATAAAGTACCAATAATACTAAGAATATTTATAATACAATATAAATTGTATGTATTAAATATAATAATAACATTAAAAGTAGCACTAATAACACGATAATAAATAAATATAATATAGATAAATAATAAATAAAGCAAAAATCAAACCACTCGCTCATTAAAGAAATTACATAATTAAGACAACTACAGTTTAGAGAGAACTTATAGAAGAAATACACTCTAACAATATATTTTTAGATTGAATTCTGTTGAGCAGTAAATAACACTGGTCAACAAAATGGAACTTTTTGTTTTCATCATGAATAAAAATATTATTTTCTGGATAAACTTTTAACTCTGATTCCAAATATCTATTTAGTTTTTCTCTATCACGTACACATTTTGAGATAAGGCCCCTTCTTATTTTGCAAATTTCAGGGAAATTAAGACATTTGCCTTTAAGTTGTGTTGTATGAATTTGGATTTCCTACCCTATTACTATCTTAGATCCGTACAATTGTCAACAATTTAAGTTAGTATTAACATATACAATGTTTTATTCACTACAATTATCACAACATTTGCTCAAAATCGCCGTGAATATGACTTTCTTTTAAAGACTTTGTCTGGGTTGTCACGATAAAGCATCCAGCAGTAATCACCCATCATGCTTTCATTCCAAAACCATTGATAGCGATTTTCCATCAGTTGAATATCTTGATGAAATCGTTCACCTTGTTCATCACTCACTGCACCCAGATTTTCAGAAAAAAAAATTCAGATGGGAATGTAAAAAGTGCAACTTCAAAGACATGCGACATCTCATTTTTTGATATGAATCGAGCAGCTCTTTAATTCCTGCTTCATATTCAGGTGACTTGTGGTTACCAAGAAAGTTAGCACAAACCCAAGTAAAGGCTTGCAAAGCTTCCTCTTCTTCATCTGTGAGAGATTTTTTGAAATTAATATCTCGTAAAACCTCTCTAATTTGAGGTCCGACAAAAATTCCTTCTTTCAACTTTGCTGCACTCATTTTTGGAAATTTTTCCACCAAGTATTGAAATCCAGCTGAATTGGATTTCCCCATTGCTTTTACAAAGTTCTTCATCAAGCCAAGTTTGATATGTAGAGGAGGTAAAAAAATCTTTTGTGGATCGACCAAAGGAATATTTTCAACACTATTTCTTCCTGGCTCATACTCATTCCTTTGGTCCCAATCTCGTTTCACGTCATGTTCTGTTACAGCGCGGCTGTCCAACAAACACAAGAAACAGCAGAATTTTGTGAAACCCATTTGCATGCCCATCAGCATGCCAACGACTTTTAGATCACCACAGATATTCCATTGATGAGTTTTGTAGTTGATTGCCTCAAGGAGAATTTTCATGTTTTCATGCGTCTCAATCAGATGAACAGAATGAGCAATTGGTATGCAAGGCTTTTGATTTCCCTTATGCAACAACACAGCTTTCAAGCTTCGCTTTGACGAATCGATGAACAAACGCCATTCAGAAGGTTCATACGGCTGTGATAAACTTTCAAACAGTCCACTAATGTCATTTCAATAGCACAATGGGCTATCAACAGTAAAAAATGTAGCTAATTGAAGATTACGCTTTCGATAGTGGCACACTTTAACGTTTGTTGCAAGCAAATTTTTTTGTTTAAGTCGTGACCCCAAAAGTTCTGCTTTCTGGATAAACGATTTTGTGCCTATTTTTCGATGAAAATCCAGTTGTATTAACAATGCAAAAATAACAATCAGTTACATGATCCTTTGGCTCCCTCCATACCATGGGTATGGCAAATGAAAATACAGTTTTCCGTTTGTGAAGCCAGTCACGCAATCCACTAGAACAGCTTGTGCAAATAATATGTGGAGCCCATGTTTTATCTTGATCACCTAACCGACATCCAAAGTACAATTTGTAGATTTTTGACAAGTTCGCTGTAATTTTACGCCGCTGACCAGACACTGTAAATAAGCCGCATACATAACAAAAGGTGTCAGGCTGATTCTTGCATTTTTTTGGCATCTTGATAAATTATTTTATAAAGATTAAATCAAACCTGAAATGAGGAAAATATCATTAGTAATTGCCACTAATCTCAAAACATAAGGTATGTCATCTCAAAAACTAGACGTGCTACAAAAAAACTGAGCACAGATTTGAAATCTGCACAAAAAACTGTATCTGGGCCACCCAAAATCGAGTCTGATGAAAAATTGTTGTTGACCAGTGTAATCCTTAACAAGTGGATTTTTTTTTAGACTTTTTTTATTAATGCAGGAATACACTGGTTCCAATCGGAAATACTTTGTTGTTTTATGGAAAACTAACCATATTTAATTGTGTCGAAAATAGAAGAACTTGAATATAGAAAAATTATAATTACATTTAAAGTCGTTCAGTATAATAGCGTAAATAAAATAAAATATATATAAACCAAATCAATTCAACCTTGAATTATATTCATATAAAAAGTAAATTTAAATTAATATTGAATAAAATAAATCAATGTTTAGGTATTTAAGAGCTAAGTATAATTTAAAAGTGTGTAAGTACATTATCAATTGAAAAAATTACTTCTTTAAGTTTTCTGTTAAATAAAAAATAACTCCACTTATGAGAAAAATCAAAATTTTTTAACACAATATTGTTCTATAAGAAAGTTCCACAAAATAAAATGAAGGCTTTACCAAAGTTTGTTTAAATAATTAGTTGTTTAATAGAACTATAACTTCTTAAAGAATATTTATTTTTTTCTTTTAAAAAATATAAATCAAGGGGGTTGGAGAAGAGTTAGTTTTACACTTGAACATAAAAAAAAGAACATTAAAAACATTTACTTGATATATATTAAGAATATTCATATTAATTAAGAGGCTTTAAGTGAGTAAGACGATCTTTTAAATTTATAAGTCGTGCAATGTGCTTTTGTTGACAATAAAGTTTATTAGCACTTCCCCACCCAATATTAGCATAATTAATATGACAATGTATAAAAGAGTAACAAAGTTGAATTAGTAGATACTAATTCAAAACGCTACTTAATTTATACAAGACTCCAATACTTTTTGCAATTTTACTACATAAGTTTCCGATGTGTACATAAGTTTCCGAACTTTTTAACGATATGAATATTGATTAAATCAATATTCATATCGTTAAAAAGTTTATTGATATTATTACATGATAAGAAGTTATTATCATCAACAAACGTGATTGTTGTTAATTTTGAGGCTTTATAGAGATCATTTGCATAAATTAGAAATAATAGGGGTCCTAGTATAGATCTTTGTGGAACTCCACAGATTATATTTAGATAGGTAAAGAAGATCCTTCGACGTGGACATATTGTTTGCAATTTTTTTGGTAACTTTTAAGTAACATTAAAGCTTTTCCATTAATACCATAATATTCAGGTTTTGTAAAAAGTATTTCATGGTCAATTTTGTCAAACGCCTTATATAAGTCTATAAAAATATTAATATAAACTAAAATATATAAATGTATTATTCATCAATCTTTAGGTATAATGAGTTAAGCTTTTTTCTACTTTTATCAATCTTTATTGAAATCATCATTTGAGGATGGTGTTTTAACCTTTATTTCTTCAAGAATTACAAAACCCAAAGTAGTAACAACAACACCCAAATTTGTAACAATCAGCAACAGATGAAAAATGAAAAAATGCGATCAATAAAACATATAAATAATCTGTTGTAAAATAAGCTAGCTAGCCGCTAGTTCATTTTACAATAAGTACTAATACTTTTAAAAACTTATTATATCTTAAACATTTT